TCCAGGTCTTGATGCAGGGCAGCAGGATGGATGAACAGGTAGTTTCTTCACTTGCAGGAAGTGGTGCATGAGATTCTGGAAAAATCAAGTGTGACAAGTATTCTGGAGACCTGAGATGTTTGGGATTCCTGTATGGCTCACTGTTTGAGTTTCTATGTCAGCTTACAGCTTGCATGAACCTGCAGGGCTGAAAGACAATTAGAGATTTCTTTTTGCTTAGAGAACAAGAGTGAGAGAGGGAGAGAATAAATTTCGGGTGGATTAGTGTGGAAAGCTACCAGGTGTTGAAGGATGGCTAAGGGAACAGGGGCACAGCTCCCAGAGAGCATTGTGCGAGCAAGAGCTTATGGGAGCTTTGAGCATGTAACTAAGAATTAGCCTCAGGAGGTTAAGTGCCCACAGGGAAGGCCCCGGTTGGCTCAGTCGGCAGAGCAAGAGGACTCCCAAGCACAGGGTCGTGAGTTCGAGACCCACGTTGGGCGCTAGTATCTGTCTCAGTTGACGCCCAACGTGGGGCTCGAACCCACGACCCTGTGCTCTTCTTGCTAGCACAATGCTCTCTGGGAGCTGTGCCCCTGTTCCCTTAGCCATCCTTCAACACCTGGTAGCTTTCCACACTAATCCACCCGAAATTTATTCTCTCCCTCTCTCACTCTTGTTCTCTAAGCAAAAAGAAATCTCTAATTGTCTTTCAGCCCTGCAGGTTCATGCAAGCTGTAAGCTGACATAGAAACTCAAACAGTGAGCCATACAGGAATCCCAAACATCTCAGGTCTCCAGAATACTTGTCACACTTGATTTTTCCAGAATCTCATGCACCACTTCCTGCAAGTGAAGAAACTACCTGTTCATCCATCCTGCTGCCCTGCATGCAGACCTGGAAAGGCACAGCTGTATCAAGCAAAATGTTAAATATCTGCCCTCTAGCAACAGTTTAAGTAGCTCCTTTCATCTCCCCTTATTCCATCTGTTTGTGTAACTGGGAGCTCTGGGTATCCGAGCACCGAGACCTCCCTTCTTTCTGCCTGATCTCAGTGTGGAGGGAGTTCTCACTTTCACAGCTGCAGTGCCTCCTCTTTCTCTCACTGTGAAAGGAAGGTGGAGAGGGAGGCTGTTCACTGTGGCCCTTCTATCCTAGGATGCCATTTGATTAGGTTCTCCTTTCACATACCTTATCATCAGCTCCACATCACAGCACTCAAGACAGACTCTGAGACAGTGAGTATTTCTACTGGTACTGTATAAGTTCTCTCAGATGGTTCAAAACCTGCATGTCCTATAACCATTCTAAGAAGCTTCCAGAACAACACATTCCATTTCTGGGGGGGTTGTATCTGTCCCCACACCCCCACTCTTTTTTCCTTTGTTGCTGTGGGTTTTGGTTTTTTTTGTTTTTTTTTTAAACCTGTTTTACAAAAGAGTATAATGCAATGCTATAGAACCACTGGGCTTGGCAGGTGATTGTACAAGGGAGATAGTACAAGTGCAGATGCAAGGCAGTTCAAGACTCAAAATATATTCCTTTCTTTATGAATCTTTTGTAGTCCTGGACTGTTTCTTCCAGCCGTATTTGCAAACTATTTTTTTCTGAAAGTGATTAGACTTAAATTTCAGATCTAATGAATGCATATAAAAACAACAGTACTTTTCTATAAAACGAGTTTTGAAATCAATTCAGACTGATGCAAAACCTTGTCTGGATATTCCTAGCTGTTAGTTTACCCTGACTTAGCTCAAGTCGAATTCATTAAACTAAATTGATGTGAACTCAGGCTAAATGCATTCCAGAGCATCCACAAAAGAGATTGTCCCTGTTTGAATAAAGAAATTTAAAAGCTGATGTCATTGAAAAGATGTGATTTATCGTGGTGGAAACTGATCTTGAGAATACACACAGGGAAAGGCATTTTGTTCATGGAGCAGTCACGGTGGAGTGGTTTTATTTTGCCACTGTAACACAGGACACCAGCATTCAGAGGTGTGCAATATCCAAGGGAAACAGAAGGGTAAGAAGTAGAAGAAAAGAACATTTTACCACAGACAAACAGTAATTTTATTCCTAGCTCAACTTTCTTTAAACACTCGCCTGACTTGTGTTGGTTTCAGTGGAACCATGTGTATACTAAAATCGCTGGTAATCTGCTTGTCAGAACTGAAGAGTATGAAAAACAAACAAGGCTATAGCTGAATAGGAAGAGGCTTTCACATCAGTAGGACACATGAAGCACCAGTGATAACCCAACTGGGGAAAATGAGTTCCATGTGACATTAATTTATATGCAGTAGGCATGTACAAATAACCCAAATCTTGACTCAGTAGGGGTATTTTATGCCCTATGCTTGAGATAAAAAAAATGTCAGAAATGGAAGGCTAAATGCAGCAGACAACTATGCTCACCCAGGCTGATTAGAAGAGGGGTTTTAAAAATGTTTATTTAATATATTAAAACGCTTGCTGTCAACACCTTTCACGCTATGTGCTTGACTATCCTTGATTAGGGTTTGTGCAGCTGTGGATCTCACACTGAATTAACTTTGTAAATTGTGGTGAGATGATAGAAGTTTTCCAGCTGTGTAATCATTAATTAACTTGGCTGCATTTGAATGGCTCCAACCCATGCTTGTCTGTGAAATACTCCACTTAGATAAAACATCACCTCTGCCTTTGCTGGGTGCTTCTTGCAGAATGAAAACTTTTTTTCCTGGCTTGTTTTGTTTGTTTGCTTGTTTTAAAGGGAAATGGAAAGTGCTGTGGGATGATTTGGCAAATTAACTTTTTGCCTTTCCCATACTTTGATAATTCTCATACACAGGAGATGCTTTGGAAGGTTTTGGGAAGAGTGACTTCCTCCTTTGATGTGTTTATACAGTGCTAGTAACAAAAGGGTTGTGGCTGTCACATACTCTAAATCCAGCTTTTCCAGGCTTTTCCAGAAAATTCACATAGTCGGGATACTGAAGACCTGTAGCAGAAGTGAGCCAGAAGTGATTCAAGTGGTCACTACCCAACTTCAAAGTCTTGGGCAGTAAATATTTTATGTATTGTTATTTGTACCCGAGAAGAGCTGCACAGTGTCTAGTCTAGGACTTGGAATCCAAATGCCATCATCTGCTAGGCAATGTGTTTATATCTTACTAAAAGGAAAATGAACTGCTCCTTAATGAATGATTGGTCAGAGCTGGAGGTTGAAAGGTGAGCTACTTTATACCCCAGAATTCTGAAGAGTTAGTCAGGAGAAGCTGAGCATATCCTTTCAAATAAATTCACAGTAACTTCAGCCCTTGTCTGTTTTCTTCTTCTAGAAGTTAAAGCATATTCTATGAAACAGGAGTCATGGAGGCAAACAAGAAGGATAAGGACTTAAACTGCAAAAATAAATTAGTCAGAGCCATTTTTTTCATTACTCTTCTAAATGCTAACACACTGATAGGAAATTAGATGCTGCTGAGGGACTTTCTGGAAGGACTTAAATTTGCAACTTTCTGGTCAGAATTAGAATGGAGAAAGAGACTGAACTCTCTCTGAGTGTCTTGACATCTCTGACTAGAGTCTTCTTGAAAAGCTCATTTACATCTAATTAAGCAACACTATTTTGTTACCTTATGCAAAGGCTGCTCCTTCCACCTCTACTAGGAAAGTGTCAGTCAAATATTCCATAATGATCCTGCCAAAGGTGGACATTTTCGGAATTACTGCTCACTTCACCTCCATGGTGATATATGAGCCAGGACTCCAAATCAATATATGTATGACTGAACTTTAGATAATTGTTAAGTCTGTGATAAGGTCAGAGTTTATTTACACATGAGAATGTTCATTAACATGGTTTTGATCCAGGTGGTGCTTCAAAAGAAACTAGGATTACATTTCAGAAGAAGCTCAAGTCCTGGATTTAAATAATAACCAACCATGGTGATATATGAGCCAGGACTCCAAATCAATATATGTATGACTGAACTTTAGATAATTGTTAAGTCTGTGATAAGGTCAGAGTTTATTTACACATGAGAATGTTCATTAACATGGTTTTGATCCAGGTGGTGCTTCAAAAGAAACTAGGATTACATTTCAGAAGAAGCTCAAGTCCTGGATTTAAATAATAACCAACTTATATTTAAAAAACAAGTGACATCACTATGAGCATGGAAAGGAGCATTTTAAAATCTTCAGACATCTGTAAGAAAATAATAAAAATATGCACAGGGACTGACAAAAAAGAAATCTTCTGGTTTAGAAAAGTCTAAACTTACAGGATATTCTTAATTCCCTTTGTAGTTTATGTTAAATATGTGCTTAACTTTTTGCCTGCTCAGGGAATCACATCAGCAGCTTGCTAAATATTACTTGTCTAGGAGCCTATTGGACCAAAGAACAGTTAATTTCAAGAGGTATTAGTCCTAGAATAAGTCATGCCATAACAGGAAGAGCTGCTCATTCACACAAACTGTCTAAATTCATTAATCTTCAGTGGATCCCTGTTATTTAAACAAATTAACCTGATTCTTCTGTTTTCCTAACTGGCATCTTCAACATATAGGTTCCCATGCTGAACAACCTTGAAAGGGCACCCAAAAAGCCTGGAGTAAAGCCAGATATTTGCCTTTGCAACACAGGAACATTGCCAAACTTAACACAAATGCACCAAATTACCTTTTGTTTCTTCTGAAAATTCTTTATGTTAAAGTTTTCTCATTAATTATGGGACTTGAACAATTTACCTGAGAGGACATTCCATGGCATGGATAAAGGATTGCTTTGTCATCCTCTTCTGCTCCCTGGTCTAAGCAGTAGCCACTGGCTTTGCTGTTACGCACCTGTAACCGGATCAGCACGGAAACAGCTGTGTTAGAAATTAAACTCTAGGATGCAAGTCCAATCTAGCTAAATCTCAGCTGCACCACAGCTAAGTAGTACATAAAATTTTTCTCTGAGAAACACATGCTTATTCTTCAGACATGACAGGATGCCAACAGTGAATTTGCTTCAGGAAAAGATATTATTTGGAAAACCTGCTGTCTGTACAGACCTTGGGTCAGAGTTATATTTTCAGCAATTACTCAAGGATCAAAACTCCATAAAACTCACTCTAAGAAACCCAGGCCAAATTCTGCTCCAAATTACCCTTGTGTAAATTGTGACCCTGTATGTCGAGACTGTGTCTTTATGAACAGCACAGGAACTATGCAGGCCTGGTGTTGAAAATGACATGCTTTTGTTTCTTCCTGGTGCTTCTATAAAACCAAAAAAAGCACGTGAAAAAAATTATTTGAGCTGAGAATATAGTATATTGTTAAGCACAGAAGTGATGTAAAGCACATTGCATGAAGGGGTACAGGTTCAGAGATCCAATGAAATACAAACATCCTGTGCCTCCCCAGACAAGGAGAATTTACAAGTCTATAAAAACTGGGATGGAGCTCTCATGAAAATCCAGGCCTTTTTTTCTCCTGAGGCTATTACATACATATTTTGGACATCAAAAAATTTTACAGCTGTCATAAACAAGAACTTATTTAGACAGACACTTTGAAAGAGTCAACAGGTCAGTTTTGGTTTAGACTGTGAAGTATCTGTCTGGCCACCCCCATAATACAAAAACAGCTGCTGCATAAGTTGTCAGGGAAAAATTCAGTAAATACTCCTTCATATTCTAGTGTACAAGCATAAGAAGGAATGCAATCAGCCAGGGGGCTCACCAATACCTAAATTTCAGGAGGTTCATTTATGACTCAGGTACTATAAAGGCTAAAGAAGATGAAGACAGCTTTATGATGTGGCTTTAAAAAAATGTGAATTGAGTCACTAGGAAATATATTTTTACTACTGTTTCAATCTGTTTCACATCTACTCAATACATTTATTTTCCTTTAAACTCACTAAAATCCAGACATCTTTTCCTCCAGGAAAATAACCAGAAGAGAAAGTATTTAATAGCAAATTTGATGTCATTTAGGATGAAGCCTTAATTTTTCCCATTATGGGTGTGTAAGATTGAAAGGGACCTATGCCAGTTTATTCCAGCTACATAGCTTGCATGGCTCCGTTTTATTAAAAATGTTAATGAATTAGATACTTGCATCACTAAACTTCCTGTGTGACCCTTCTATGTGGCTGCTCAAGAGAAACAAACTCCATTTTGGAGCCCAGCTTGCTCACTATCTGGTGTAACTGACACAGCATCGGCAGTTCTGCCAATGTTCTTTGCAGTTAACAACCTTCTCAGAGCTGACAGATACTAATAGCTCCTGTTGAATTTACTAAATGTCTTTTCTCAGTTACTGATGGCGATAGTTATATTAGGATGCAAAGTGATATTATGCAATAAAACTTGAACTTTGTATCAATATCTCAAGTGTCTGACTTATTTTTATATAAAGTCAATCAAATGAAACAGAAGGGAACAGTGTCCATTTAGTTGTCTTGTGGGAAAATATATTGCCTTTGCATTTAATTGCAGTTCAAGTAGACAATTAAAACAGAATCTTAAAAACATTATGCAGCAGGAGAGCTCCTAGAACTTTGCCCCAGTTCACCACCATAAATGACAGCAGACCTTCTATTACAGGCACATGATATAGAATCATAGAATCATAGAATCAACCTGGTCGGAAAAGACCTCCAAGATCATTAAATCCAACCTTACCGTGGTTATTAGACCATGGCACTAAGTGCCACATCCAGTCTCATCTTATAAACCACCAGAGATGGTGAATCCACCACCTCCCTGGGCAGCACATTCCAATGCCTGATTACTCTCTCCATAAAAAATCTCTGCCTAGTGTCTAACCTAACCCTCCCCTGGCAGAGCTTGAGTCTGTGCCCTCTTGTCCTCCTGCTGGTTGCCTGGGAGAAGAGACCAACCCCCACCTGACTCCAACCTCCTTTCAGGGAGCTGGAGTGGGTGATAAGGTCTTCCCTGAGCCTCCTCTTCTCCAGGCTGAACACCCCCAGCTCCCTCAGCCTCTCCTCATGGCACTTGTGCTCGAGTCCCTTCACCAGCCTTGTTGCTCTTCTCTGGACCTGCTCCAGCACCTCAATGTCCCTCCTGAACTGAGGGGCCCAGAACTGAGCACAGTACTCAAGGTGTGGCCTCACCAGGGCCGAGTCCAGGGGCAGAATCACCTTCCTGGTCCTGCTGACCACACTGTTCCTGATCCAGGCCAGGATATCACTGGCCTTCTTGGCCCCCTGAGCACACTGCTGGCTCATGTTCAGCTTTCTATCTATCCACACTCCCAGGTCCCTTTCTGCCTGGTGCTCTCCAGGCACTCTGTCCCCAGCCTGGAGCACTGCATGGGATTGGTATGGCCAAAGTGCAGGACCAGCACTTGTTAAACTTGGCCTCTTAGATCTGAAGAGTTACAGATGACGTTATGACTTCTTTAAAGACTGGGGTCAAGCATATATGGGAGATTTGGTTGGTTCACAGGAAAGGAGGAAAAGATCCAGACGGCTGAGGTGAGCCCAAATGTCTACACATTTCTAACATGTTTGGATCCAACATTTTAATAGGGTTGACTAACCTATCCATTCAACTACCTTCAGGTTGGTGTTTTAAGGACTTAGTCAATACTGGTACACAAGTGAAAATGAAAATACAGAATCTGAGCACAAAGCAGCCAAAGTGTTTTTCCTCTAATGACTTTTTTTCACAACATACAGACCTGCTAAATGGTAGCCTCACCTCATAATCTGAACAAGGATATGTTGCTTTTTATCCTGAACAGGATAAAAGAAGGACTGTAAAAATGAATTAATAAAGTGAATGCAATCCTTCAAACTGGCAAAACACAAAGAAGGAGTGGTTCTTTACCTAAAAACAGGTCAGCAAACTCATCTGTTCTCATTAACTAGAATTATTTTAGCTCTCTCAACTGCTGATGTTTTCTTGATGACGTTTGTGGCATCCTATTTGGGAAAACAATTACCTCACACTTACGTTCTCAGGGCTGCTCTGCTTTAACATGAAAGCCAAGGAGATTGCATATCCTTGTTAATGAGGATGATTTCACCTGATACACTCCAACGAGAGGGACAGGGCTTCTCAGAGCCACACTTCTTAGTGTTGGGTAAAAGTAGAGGAAGGCATTTTTGTTGCTACTACTGTGCTGACTTGCAATTTCTCTATACATCCTGACACCCACAGCTCAGATGAAAGGAGTGCTCTAATGCAGCCGTGATGTGTTTTCAAAGACATACAGTACCTCTCCATAAGTGACTGTGTCATTATAAACCCTCATTTCAGGGTATACATTCTCCAAGTACCACTTAAAACTCCGGCACTGCAGTCGCTGTCGTAGAGCTATTCTTTCAGAAACGTCTCCAAAGTCAACTCCAGGGTTCTGCAAAGCAGAAAATGAATAAAGAAATCTCACTGCACTGCCTTTACAGTTGCTTTCTTTACTGAAACCAAATTGCAGTTCATTTTGTATACCAAGCTGTATTTCTCTCTCTTCTTTCTCTTTTGTAGCAGCTCATCAAACAGCTGCTGTTGAGCACAGACAATAAATATTAATGAAAGCCAGTAGAAAAAGAGGGATAAAGAACAAACAAAAAACCAAACATAAATCAAAATAATAAGAATACAATAAGAATGTTGTTACTTACAGCAATTCTAAATGTTTGCAATCAATCCTGAAGCCTTTGCTTTCAGATTCATTTGGAATTTAGGCAGTAATTCTGATCTAAGATATGGCAGCTTGGCCCTGATTTACTCTAGTAACAGCTTTGGGCATTCACTAATGTAAGTGACATCAGAACAGACCTGGTAAAACTTCAAAGTGAAGCTGTTCAAAAAGTCATTTAGCACCACTAAGCATTCATACAGACCAGGATTCAGTTTTTACTGGAACTGGGGCTCACTTGCGTACATGAGCCATAAAATGCAGTTAAGCTCAAAACCTTCTTTATAATTCTACTTGAGAATCTAATTCATGCTTAAATACAAATCCCATGAAACAAAAAAACAGGCTGGAAGACTCAAGTTTCAAGTTAATGTGACCTAACTAAGCCATTTGAAAATGCCAGGTCCTGAGTTAGAGTCTGTTGATTTAAAGCATTATAAATCATCACAGGTCAACATTAAGAACATTGAAGTTACCTCATCTAAAAATCTTTTCCAACAATACATAAATCAAATGGACTAAATCTGGGGAGTTTTGCATGGATCTGTCTGAAGTGCCTTGTACTTCTCCTCCAGAAGGATTCCTGTACATTTTACAGATTATATCTAATGCAAGGTTACGAGACAGCAGCAAAGCTTAGCTCAGGGTTTATTAAAATCCCCAACAGATGCCTGGTTTTCATGAGAGAATACAAGTGTAATACTGAACAGGTTTTTCTATTTGCCACATAAAGAGTTTGCTGTGCTCACTGCTGCTTGCTGATGCACACTCTGTCATGGGTTCTCTGTGCAGCATCCATTCAAATGAATGTTAATTTACGTACTACTTGAGGCTAGATGGAAGGAGAGCAATTCTCTGAGGCACTCCATACAATAAATCATCCAATGTAAGATTCCTTTATCGCTGAAATTGTCAGGGAATAGATCATAAGCAGGGGCATACCAAATATTTGGTTAACTAAAATAAAGCTACGCTGACCTGCTGCTGAAGGTTGTAAGAACATGATCTTGCAGATGTGCCCAAGACCATCTGCTAATCAAGATACACATGATGCACAGACTCTCAATAACATGGAAGGGAGCAAGTTATGAAAAAGATGGTGGAAGTCATAGAAGAGATAATTTGGATTCCTTTGTGCCATGGGAAAAACATGCGTTTTACTTGCCTGTCTGACCTATTCTAAAATGAGGCAATATAATGTCCTTCTTGCAGCTCTGTTTTTACAGAGTACAAGAGCAGCAAATTGAAGAGCTATGAAAATGCTGTGCTTACCTCTGTGCTAGCTGCAGTTGTCATGTGCAGGTTATAGTGTGATGGTGCAAGAATGAGATGCCCACAAAATTTAGTACATGGACATATTAATTTTAAACAGCAAGTAACATTTCTAGTTCTCCTGCAGAAGGTTTTTGTTATGGTTTATACCAGTATAGAACTTCTGAATCATGTGGATTGAGTGCTACAGTGGAATAACTTGGTGAACACTAACATTAGCCTCCTGTCCCTGAGAGCTAATAGGGCTATTTTTATGCTGCACATTTTATCAATCAATCAATTTATTTTATGGAAAGAAAATGTTAATGTTCAGTAGTTCTGCTGATTTTATGTCTTTTATTGTAGATGTGCCTGGTCTTTTTAAAGCTATGCTGTACGGCTCAGTGCAGGAAACTACATCAATAAGTAATCTCAGAGAGATTAAAGGAAATCATGTTTTTGTGTAAATGCTTATTTAAATATCATCTTGTCTCAGAAGTCATTTGCAGATGGCATCAAGCAAACAAATTTACCAAGTTTACATTTTCATCTCCTATTAGAAAACTGACCGTTTTAGCAATTCAGGCAGATAGGGCCAAAATGCCCCAAAAATCTTAGAGGGACAGTACTCTGTCTTCCTCCTGCTGTAATGGAAATCTTGTGTAGGAAAAGTTATGCACCACTGCCTTTTGCTCAGGCAAAATAATTCCCTGCAACTACCTCTCATGCTAAAAGAAGTCATCAAAATCACATCTCAGGAACCTTGCACAGAGTGCCCAGTACTGAAAAGCAGTAAGTGAATTTAGACATGTGAGAACATCCAACGTATTCAGACATCACATGGAGAAGGAGGAAACATTGCTCCTGTGAGTTTGATGAACTTCAGGCCATAACTGAATATTCCCAAAGACACTGCTGGTTTTGCATATATTCCTGTTCTGATAGGAACATTCCTGTTTCCATTTGCTTCAATCAGCTCTGGACAAACCCCTGATATAAAGCTTAACTAAACCATCATAACCTACAGATCAGTGTATGCTTCCCCTCAGCTGCTTTCCCCGTGCCCCTTCCCATGAATAATTTAAATGCAAACACTGCTAAGATACACAGCAACAGTCAACTTCCACCTGACTGGGACATCTCTCTCTCCTCTCCAAGAATTACACTCCGTGGAGATGTAGCATGTGATATACTTACAGAATAAAGTGATAAACTGAACCTACAGTTTATCTAATATTTATATTACATGGATTCCTAGAGGCCCCCACGTGCCATACAACTCGTATGTGCCATGGGAAACAGAACGTGCCCACGTTGCACCTCTCAGCCTGTGGACAATAAAGCTAGTTAACGTGTGCCTCTTTTATTGCACACTTTGTATTTTATGCTGGGGAGGTCTACTGAGTCTCAGGATGAATGGTGATATTTATTTATGGACATTCTGTAGTCCCCACCATTGTAGCATACGAACACCTCAGAGTTTAATGGCATCCCAAATTAATGACTTCTTCCAGGGAAGTGCATAAACCTGAAACATTTTGCTCTAGTGAAATGATAAATCTGTGTCACCGCATACAGCAACCTGCACTGAGTGTACAACTAAACTTAGACTGAGGAAGCAAGTTTATATGGCAGAACTCTCTGTACTGAGCATACACCAGCATGAAAGGACACATTCCCTAAGCTTTCTACAGCTGTAGTAATACCCTTCAACTCAAAGAGCTAATTATGACAGCCACCCACATTTCTGCCTCTCTTCAGGAGAGAGTAGGACTGTACTTACTGCCATGGGGATGTTCCAGGCCATGTAAACATGGGACTTGAAGTCATCCATCCAGACCTCAGCGGCTCGCAGGGCGTTGCGCTTTGCATAGTAATCAATGTCGTTGTTGTAGGGTTTCTTTGTGCGTTCAATATGTGCCACGCGCGAACAGGGTAACACCTCCATGCTTCCTCCACACTGCCACACCTGGCAAAGACAGAGAAAACAATGACATGACTTTTTGTTTTCCCCTTTTAAGGCAATACAACCGCTTCTTTTCAGATGCTGCGTGTAGAATGTTTGCTAGTCACAGGTGAGGGCTACTGAACCATTCAAAATGATTCCCCAATCTATCTGCTTCGAGGGCAGAACCCCTCTCTTTGCATATACGTGCTGGTTTGGGCTGAAGTGGAGTTAACTTTCCTCACAGTGGCTAGTGTGGGGCTGTGTTTAGGATTTGTGCAGGGCACAGGATTGATAATGCAGATGTTTTTGTTATTGCTGAGCAGAGCTCACACAAAGCCAAGGCCTTTGCTGCTTTCTGTACTGCCACATGGCAAGGAAGTTGGGGGTGCATGGGAGATTGGGAGGAGACACAGCTGGGACAGGTGACCCAAACTGACCAAAGGGATATTCCATACCATAGGACATCATGCTCAGTATATAAAGTGGGGAGGAAGGAGAAGGAAGGGGGGACATTTGGAGTGATGGCGTCTGTCTTCCCAAGGAACCGTTACGCGTGATGGGCCCTGCTCTCCTGGAGATGGCTAAATACCTCCTGCCTGTGGGAAGCAGTGAATTAATTCATTGTTTTGCTGTGCTTGTGTGTGCAGCTTTTGCTTTCTCTATTAAACTGTCTTTATCTCAACCCATGAGTTTTTCTAGCTTTTACCCTTCTGATTCTCTCCCCATCCCATTGGTGGGGGGGTGTGAGCATCTGTGTGGTTCTTGATTGCTAGCTGGGGTTAAACCATGGCAACACAGCCTATAGATGAGTCTGAGGTGAACACAGATGGCTGTATTAGGTACATGAGTTTAGAAGCCATAAATACCCAAGTCCTTCCCCATAACAACACTGTTCTTGGAACCATTAGGCAGAGGACAAACTATGAAGTGGCAACCTCTATCATAGGGGCCATTTTTACCTAGTGCTTGTTACTGAAACATCCACAAAAATCAGCTGTATCATCTGGCAGTGTTTGGCACATGAGCTGGGTACTGGAATGTGCTATAAGGTCTCCCTAGAACCTTCTCTTCTCCAAACTGAACATCCCCAGCTCTCAGCCTGTCTCCACAGGAGAGATGCTCCAGCCCTCTCACCATCTCATCTCTCTTAGATTCAGCTCTCTACCCCTGAGTTGATGAAGATGGACAAAAAGGGCTGAGTGGAGACTGTATCATCCAGCCTTAACAGACATCACCATACCCTATTGATTATTTACTGTCTGAATTCTATGATGGGGAACAAGGGGGACTTGTCTCTTTGCATCAGTGTGAATTGGAGTGATGCACGGGGAGTGAAGCTTAGGCATTTCGATTCCCTCAGGTCTGCACTTAGTAGCATAGTCCAGCTGAAATAAATAAAAGATATTAAAATACAAGCAATAATTCATTGCTTTCCAAGGTTGCCTTTTACTGAGAATGAAAGCTCATTTCCATATAAGATGCACTCCAGAACTATACTGGGGCAGGTCTCCACCTAACCTGCCTTCTCAAGGACAAAGATAAACTGCTTGGGAAGTGGCAGATAAAATCTTATCCTCTAGTTTGGCTTTTTTTTTTTTTTTTTTAATACTTTGTTAGGTAATATTATAGCTACTTTCCAAACAGTTCTGTAGTAAATCACTGGCCACTGGAATTTACATTTGACAAATGAAATACACCGAAAACCACGCTGCTCATAAATCTGGACTGACATATGCTGAGGGTTTCCAGTGCAAAGGGGAAGTGCTACAAAAAAAGAAAGGAATTAATTGATTTCCACAATCAGAAGGGGAAATGAGCAGTACACTTTAGTATACAGCTATTTGCCCAACCCAGCCTGGAAGTCAGCTATTTAATGCACAGCACATTTTTCTTTGCCTTGATATGGCTAATGACCTTGTAACTCTTATTTATATATTTTGGTACCAAGAGCAAATACATTATCTGAGTGACAGATTTATTTCCCTCAAATGCCAGTGCTCACACAAACCTGAAAAGGAAAAGGTACTAAACTGCAACATTAAAGAAAACAGTTTAGCTCATCTGTAAATTCAACACAAACAGTTATTTATCAGTGATAAATTCTCCCCAGATGAAATCCACAGGGATCTCAGACACCTGGCTTTGAAGAAAACACTACAAAAAAGGCAGTAGCAGCCTCAGGCCAGATAATGCTCACCCTGTCAGGCAGGAGCTTGGTGCTCAGCAGCCAGCATGGACCTGCTGTGGTGTGACCACCCCATCTGCAGTCCTCTAGACTACTTTCCACTGACATTCAGTCACTTCTTTTCCCTACCTCTCAGTCCCATTTTACTGCTTAAATAGGCAAAATCTGCTGAAGAGTGGGAAGGAAGGAAACAGACAGGAAATATTTAAGGAAAATTTGCTTCCAGTGAAGATGCTAAAATTTACCCTAGATGACTTGCTCTTTTTCTGAGAATATGCAACTTTTAACACCATTGGGGGATGTTTCCCAGAATAACGATAGGATTTCCAATCCCAGAGAAAGAGAACTGTATGTACAGTGTAGGGGGGGTGAGAAGGCAGTTAGATAGTCATGTATCACCAGGAATACATCATTGCACCATCATTTCTCCACATCCCAGATAAATGCCACAGCTGCTCAACTATGGGTCATTTCTTTTCAACCCAGACAAGGTCTCTTGTTTCACTTCATAAAGATTAGTTGCTGTTCAGTGGAGCACAGACATGACTCTGTACCCCACACCCTTTCAGCATATGGTTAAATACAGAGTGAAGATCTTTTCTTCCTTTCAAGCCCAATGATTACTTACACTTGGACAAAATGGAAGTTGTACAATCTTTACAATCTGTATAATGGACAAAATTTCAGTAGTACAATCAAATATGTGCATCCAAAACTGGGCAAGATCCCAGCAGTTAAGAGCAATCATGTGAGAATTAGATGAACACTCAAGGCTTGTGTCTGAGTGAGGAGGATGGGAGGTTCAGCTGCACCTTCTCTCCACTGGACACAGAATTGAAAGACATGCATGGTGCAGAAAACCATTGCCTGTATGCCTCTACCGAAAGATGAAAAAATAGGGCAAGTTTTTCTGTATGAATCAGATAAGAGTGAGGTGAGTCAGTGGATGAAAAAATAGGGAAAGTTTTTCTGTAGAATCAGATAAGAGTGAGGTGAGTCAGTGGCTGATCCTGAAACTGGTTGATACTCCTCCTCTTTTCATCCTCAAAACTGTACTTAATGACCCATTTTAGCAGTAGTAGACAACACATTTCTTTCCACATCAAACTATGAAATTATGCCAGAAAAATAATTACATGCATCTATAAAGCATTTATCAAGCAGAATCCTTGAAGTACCTTACTGGTGGAAGCTAACTATTTCTACCTTTGAGCATAAAATGTGCCCGAGGCCCTCCAAATTAACACATTTCAGGCAATCAGAGAAAACTGACTTCCCTATCTATGACTCATCTTCTGAGATAACAACACATTTCCAACCCAAGTAATTCCTCTCATATGGAGTTGCCAACACTGAATGTGTGTTTCAAGGTTCATTTACTGAGAAGGTGGAAGTGTTATGGTCTTTCTGAGCTGCTCCCCATAAGGGTGCACATCACTGAAGAGCACACTCCACCTTCTTTTCCTCCATGGCAAATCCCCAATAGTAATTTTATCTTTTGTGTCTCCACAGCATGCACTCATCAAACCTGTATTGTGGGACAACAGTCTCTGTGGAAGGCCAGGTAGGTACTCCCAGGTAGCAGCAGCAGTGAAGCAAACTGCTGTGTGTGCTCCTTGACTCTGTGCAGCTGCTGCAGCCCAGGGCCTCAGCTTTGCCTCTGTGAGCATCACACTGCGCAATGTTTTAAGACATGATCAAGTAATTCCAAGAGACACTCAATTTATTTGCTAATTGTAGCTAATTTCTAATTTCAGCATTGCTCTTTAGGCTGCTATAAACAAAATTGATAGCAATTTAAATGTTACCATAGCCGTGTTACCTTAGCATTTTTACTGCTAATTATCTCAATCAACTTTTCTATAAACAGACATATTAAGTATTGAGAAGAACAAGTACCCACATCAGGAGTAAATTACAAACTGAATGATACTGTTTGTGGTTTGCTCTACAGTGATTTACTGACACTAATTATTAGCTATTCCTGTACACCTGAGATAGGGCTGTCCTACAGGAAAGTGTTTATTTTTACAGCAGTCAACTGGACATCATATTCTATGCATCAGAGAGAATATGAGATGAGACTGTGTCTTGTCTACCATGACCTGAACTGTGCATCAGCAAAATTCTCTGAATGCAGGTTAGCTACTTTATTTAGAAAGGCTAATGAAGTGCCATACTTTAACTCTTGCCAAACAAGAACACATTTTCTGAGGAAATGCATTTTCCCACAAGGACTTTTTTGCTGGAGGCCGAAACTACCATCTTTAATAGGATTTAAAACCAATTAAAGTTAAAAAGAGTTAAACAAGCCTGGTCACCATTGACCAGGATGTACAGCTGACTGGATTGCTGAGCTAATCAAACCCTACATCTTGGCAAATATATATAGAGAAAACATTGCTGACATGGTCTCCAGCTCTGCAGGTGAGACCTGTTTCCAGTAGCATCATGCCCTGCAGAGTGAATGTTAGAGCTCAGAAACATCCTGAGATTTAATACTTAGGTGAGCCATTTGCAAGAGGGTGGCTGCAGCTCCCAAGGGGCTCTCACCAATTACAGGGACAGCTCTTCCCTCTCCATGAACTTAGTGCTCTGTAAATTGAATATCACATTATTTTGTACACTGAAGTGACTGCACAGGGTTATTGAATTTGGTACAGGTGATGTCAGTAAAAGCAAAAACAGTAGGTAAAAATGAAAATGGCATCAGTATGAAGGCAAAGTTGAGGAGACAGTTTCAACTTTGAAAACTTAAGACTGGAAATAAAGACCATGATCTTTCAGAACTTTGTATCTTGCTGTGAATTTTGCAGTTTAAACATCTCAGTGCTCA